GACTTGATTTTTGAAGTTTTAAAATCTATTTCTTAATTTTAAAATCACATATTTTAACCAACTACTATGTAATGTTCCCTTTCGTAACATCCCAATAATTTCTGCACCCTTTTGGGTGGTATGATCCCAAACATCACTATCATCTTCGTAAAACTAAATTGTGGCAATTACGCCAACTATGCCTAACTAAGTTTCTGTGGAAAGCTAAAATTTATTTTTACTGAACTTTAAAATTAACAAAATTTTAATCAACTCACCAAGTTCATCTTCACTTTAACCATCTCTCTAAATTCATAAAATCATATTCAGTGTGGTTTTTATGTATCGAACTATAAAAATTGAATTATACCGTATTAAAAAAGAGTATATAATGAAAAATAATAAAATTATGATTTCTTGTAAACTTTTATACATTATTTTTGAATGATTTATAGCGTGTTTTTTTTTTTTATCTTAATATTTACATTAATCTTTCGGAATAGTTAGGAAGGGGCCTTGTTGTCTCCCAAATTGACGAAGCAAGTATTTATAAAAAGATGAGCTTCAAGGTCCGATCAAACTCAGAGGGTGTATTTAATTGTGACTTTTGAAAATTTTAATAGATTTTTCTAAGTGATGACTACTCTGAATTTCGTGAATCTTTCATAAATTTGTATAGAATTAGTGAAAATTTTTCGTAGACTTCTATGCATCTACATTTTAAAACTTTTAATAGACTTTTCTAAAATTTAAAAGACTTTTTGAAAACTTTCATTTGAAATAGAATTCACGTAAATCTAATGCAATAATGTGAAATTTTTACACATGAGATGGTAGTTTCCACAATTTCCCTTCCCTTTCCCGTCCTCATATAATGAAAAATTATTTTAAACAGTAAAATTTTAATACTCAATTGAATACATAATAATCAAAATACATATATATGATCAAAAATGAATTTGATATTCAATATTATTAATATAATATACCTTTAAAAAAAATCAACATATTTAAATTTAATTATAAATTTGTCATATAACATATTATAATTTAATTATATATAGATATTTTTCACAAAAAAAAAAATGAAAACAGAAAAAAATATTATAAGAATCCAATTTAATTTAATTTTTTTTATTTTTTGTGAAAAGTCTTCCAAAATCTTGTGATTAATGAGACACAAAATTCGAGATTTTACTTGAATAATTTCTGCTTTTATATTAGTACTCCAAAGATTTTTATGAAAATTTTTATAAGTCATTAAAATTTAAATACCCCAAAACTTATAGTTATAGGGATTTATAAAAAGTTTTAATTGAATAAATTACGACTTTCAGAGACTTGAATACAACAATACTTTTAGAGAGTCTTAAAAAATCTACACTGAATACCGTTAAAGTTTTCAAATATCAAAAAATCAAAACACAGTTGTGCACCCTTCTCAATTGATTTTTAGATGAGGGAAGATATCGGACGCAGGCTAGATATGAGGAAGGAGTTGTTTTGACTTATTTTAAACAAAGCTGACTTCTTTTCTTCGGGGATCACTAAGCAAATTTTCAATTTAAGTGAGAATAAAAAAAAAGTGCTACATGTACATAATTATCTACATAATGGTGTCTATAATTACACGTGGTACTGGATCCAACTTTTAATTCAAATCTCACACTTACACATCAACAACTGGATGATTGTCACGTCACATTATGAACACCATTATGTGTAATAATTTTGTACAAGTAGAATTTTCCGAGAATAAAATCAAGCAACATTTATTTGGATGTGTAGTATCTACGTGCCAACACATACAATAGATTCAATGAAATATAAAAAATATAAAACTCATTTGGGGAATTAACACGAAACATCTCTACCTTTTAATGTTATTGTGAAAAGAATTATTCTATGGGTACAATTTTTTTACCAAATTTTATACGTGTAGCTGTCTCCCTACGATTTACTGTTGCAAAAAATAGTTTTTGGCAGCAGCCAATCCCGATGAGACAACTATGTTTCTAGTATAAAATTTGTTAAAAAAATATGTACTTGTAGCATTTTTCATCAAAAAGTTCATACCTTTCATTTTTGGCATTTTTACTTTTTATTTTTGCCTTTCATAGTAGAAAATGTTGTTTTCATCAATTTTTAACGTAAAAATGGCCAATATATACTTATATTTGAATAAAACAAAGAAAGAAAAGAAAAATAAAGGACAGTCATACTTCTAAATATTTTAAAAAGTGCAAATGAGTCAAAATAAATTATTAAAATATTAAATATAACAAATTTTTTCTCCATTCTCTTTTTTTCCTTCCCCTACTTCTGTCTTCTCCACCGCCAAACGAGGCTGCCACCTTGGAAACCAAAAACTCTAGGCAACCACTATCCAAATCATTGGAAAGCTCTCACTCCTCTCTACACATTCTATTCAACATCCAACCTTCATGCCAAAAGATTTGGTCGGAAATTGTAAGCTAAAATACCCAACTTGCGAATGGAAATTCTGGCAGCACTACCTGTTCCGGTAAGATTCATGACATTCCCAACACTGTAATCGACTATACTTACTAAATGAAAATGCAAACAATATCCCAATTCCCAAATGCAAAATTCAAATTTAACAAAAAATATTATCAACATAACAATACTAAACAATATCTTTGTCCTCTGATTCTTGTGCAGTCGAACTTGATTCTTACTTAATAACTCAAAAGCTTTAATCTCAATTTATATTCAATCTTCATTCTTTTTCACAACTCTTACTAGCATACGTCAAACTCAAAATTGATTTCTATATAGAATATAAGAAATGTAAGTAGAGTAATAATCCATAATGGTCTAAACTGAAGATTTAAATAAAAAAATGTACCTCTTCATTAACATCCTCGTCACCAAACCTTGCACAAGTTTCGGAGTAAGATGAAGGAGCAGAATTTTCTACAAACAAAAAAGAGAGAAAAATTAGCAATAAAAGAAAGTACATGAATAACAGATATAAAACAATAAATCCAATTATTATTATTATTATTATTTTAATGGGTAATTGGCTCGGGGCGGGACGATGGCGCAAATACCATACCCGCCCCGTCCCGTCCCAAATCGGGTCATTAAAATCAAATATCATATCCGTCCATTGCACCATCGATTTAGTTTCTTTTCATTTCATTCGGTTCGATTAATCGCGATTTTTATCATCCTTAACTAAAATATTCGTTTTCCCTTTGGACTACTTTGAGTGTGTACTAGTCTGGAGTCTTGCAAAGGGGCATATCTCCCAGTGGCAAAGGGGAGGGCGGATAGGGCTCAGCGCGACAGTGTGCAGAGTTCGATTCCCCGCAAGGTAGAATTGACTTTGTTGCAAGCGGGAGTTACCATATAGGTTAACAGCCTTGGCCTATCCATATGCTCTCTACCCTGGCTCCTGGGAGGCACATCCTGCGATTTACCTCCTCCACGATGGCCCAGGGCAGGGTGGGTGGGGGCCCTTAAGGTTGGAGTTCAACCTTTTTTTTAGTCTGGAATCTTGCAAAGCTTTAAGAACGGGATGGTGGAGCCCTCAATGTTGGAGTTCAACTTTTTTTTATTTTTTTAGTCCGGAGTCTTGCAATTTCTCGTGGAGGCTTTTTTCTCTGTTTTTATTTGCTTTTAAATAAAAACTCTACACGTTAATGATAAGAGCAAAGGCCATCGGTGCCACGTGTTAGGACCGACACGTGTAACAAGATGCAGTAAAAAATGTCCTGCAGCAACACTATGCATGTGCACCCACGAAGTCCAGAATCACGCGGATTTTAGGCGACGTGTTAGTTTCTTGTTGGCGGACAAAACGCTCAACTTGCCTTGTTCTTTATTTTCGAAGATCGAAAACGTGTATGGTGGCCCACCATCTTGGCCGTACTGTTTTTCTTGCACCGTTAAGCTTGACGCCGTCAACTTTCATCTTCCTCCTTCGCCCACTCATCTTTTATACATTTTATTTTGGATTATACCTATGTCTCACACATTGATAAAATTATTTAGTTAGCAATTTTATCGTAACTAATTCTACGTAATTGTCAAATGGTACTCAGAGACGAATCATTGTACCAATGTCTTAAATTAAAATATTTTAAAAAATTTATATTTTATAATTGTAATACATTTAGCCATCATTTGGCCCTCATTTTTTGAAATGAAAATGAGTGGAATAGTGTTTTTAAAAAAAAATGAGTGGTTGAGAAATAAGGAAAAATTTTCAACTTACGTGTAATAATATTTTATGAAAAATTGTATAGTTAAAAATATGATAGAGAAAAATGAAATATAATTTAATCGAGGCCAAACGGGGTATTATGATATATTATAATGATAATTAATCATTTGTTATTGTGATGGATCTATTGTGAAAGAATAATGTTATTCACAATCTTTCGCTATGACAATTGTCCTAAGTGGCATTCACAACTGCAAGTGATTATTTGATATATTAATGTAGTAATTTTTTATTAACTCATGTATCATATAATTACTTGTCATATGTATGCTACGTAATGTGAATATTATAGTGAGTGACTAAGATTAATATTATTCATTGTAAAATGATATTTAATTGATCAATTTTCATCACATTTAGAGCTTGTTTGGTAGTGATTTTGAGAATTGATTTTTTGATTGTTAGGAGAAAGGTGGGGGCCACATGTGAGAAAAGAAGTCAAAAATTACTATTGAAATATTGAAATAACAGTCAAAAAATCAAACGGGGCCTTAACTAAAGTAAAGTGATCAAATTGAGCCAAATTAAAATTTAGCAATTCAAATCATTAAGGATGAAATTCAAGGGCTAAAATTGTCTTTTTAACCATGACGTGAGGTAAAACTTAACGGGAGAGTCAGAAGGGGCATACGGCGTAAGTAAATGGATTATAAAATAAGGACGAAGTCCAACTTACCAAAGAATACGTAAAATACACGCCGTTTCTGCAGCTTATAAGGTAAATCTAAAAGACACGTGATTTAAATGGAGCTATAATTTTGAAATTCAAGATAAAATAATAACCGCAAACACCACTACGTTTGTTAATTTCTCATATATTCCTCGTGCTTTATTATCACCGGAAGAAATGATAAGACTTTATAGATCACCCTATAAATGTAAAAAATCTCTCAGACCATTCATTTAGATCACTAAAATCGTAGAACAATTGATTTTATCTTGAATGTTATATTTGGTTTTCGGAGAATAAATGGGTTCATCAGAATTAGGGGCTTCGGGTATGTTTTCCGGCCATTATTTGGGAGGAATCGAGGGTTTTGGCAGCGGTAGCCTTGGATTGACGACTCAAGATTTTGAATTCAATGGTATTTTCAATTTCTTTCCCTTTTCTTAGTAGTTCGATGTATGAGTTGCTTAGATTTAGTTTTAAATTATTTCCATTTTCTCGTAAAATTTTCTGGTTTTGGAACAACATAGAGAAAAAATCTGAGTTATTTTGGTTGAAACAGGGGCTCCGAGTGGGACAATGAATTTATTGTCGACGATGGATAAATTGGGCTCTCCGTCCCAAATCCTACCCGATTTACCTCAGTATATCGGCGGTTATGGTTCCACCTTTGGCAAAGAAGAAGCTCAGAATAAAGCTGTTATTAGGTTCGTTTTTTCAGATGACCAATTCAAGTTTCGTTTATCGTTTGTTTTTTCTTTATTTTTTGGCTAATAGTTCGATTTACCTGTACGAAATAGATCTGAGCCAGAAACTGCACAGATGGTGATATTCTACGCAGGTCGAGTACATGTGTTTAATGACTTTCCGGTGGACAAGGCAAATGAAATTATGATGATAGCCACTGGACAGAACCAGTCCACCACCGCCGTTCCGCCGCCTTATATGGTGCCAAGTCCAGCTGAATCAACCACCAACAACATTTCAGTTGCTGTCCCCGGTTTTGACTGCCTTCAGTACCCCCCTCAGCCACCCCTTGGTTCAAGTAAGCTCTATTCACTTATCATTTTAATTTTTATACACTTGCCTTTATAAGCGAAAATTTTTTGGTAGTTTTTATTAATTTAATCTCTCTGGGCCTGCAGATTTACCAATAGCAAGGAAAAATTCGCTGGCCCGATTCCTGGAGAAGAGGAAAAACCGGTAAGAATTCAAGGAAACTTCTGCATTTAAGAATTGGTTAATCCATAAAGATGAGCTTACTTGATATCTCGCCTAGTTGAGTATTTTTCTAGCTAATTTTGAGACGAATCTATGTTTAATGAATTTAAAAGCAAAGTCAATCTTCTAGGAGAGAAAATTGTCATTAATTTGGGAAATTGTAAGGTGGGCTAAGATTGATTTCGGTAAATTTCTTGTATTTAATGAATTTAAAAGAAATGATCAATTTTCTGTTCAAGTGTAAGTTGGGCTACGATTTATTTTGATAAATTTCTTGTATTTCATAGCAGGATTGCTGCAAAAACACCATACCAATCAAGCAACCAAACTTCTTCAAAGCCGGTTAGAGGCGAGGCTTGGCTGGGATTGGCTCCTCAATTTCCTTTTTAATGGAGTTGAGCGCCATTAATTAGGTTTTACATTTTGTTGCTTGCTAAGATATATTTTGGTTGAAGGACAGACGTGTTTTTGATCTGGTAATTAGTAGTTTAATGTATTTAGTTCACATTTGTTGAGCTTAATTATTTTGTAGTCTGTCTGTTTTCTTCTTGGCATCACAATTTGATCTAAAATTGGGGGAAGGACTGCCCCTTTTTATGAGTTTTTACGGTCACTTTCATTGATTTTATAAATATTATATGTATTGGTTTCTGAGTTTTTGACAATGGATCACGAAGTCGATTAAAACCCAGTTGCTATTTTAGATTAGAGGTATCAAAGTGTATTGGGTCGATGGCTACACGTTGTGTTGAGTTGAACTGTCAACGATCGTGGCTTGTACAGATTGACCATCTTAGCCTCTCTAAACTTTTTTTCATTTTCCTTTTTAGAAAATAACGTAACTAACGAAATATATATAATACGTTGGTTCGGTGAAGCATAGGCTTGGCAAAGGTCATGGAATCATAAATATGACTTGTTCTATATTGCATTACTCGTGTTCACTTAGTTTGTATTAGGCCAACGTCTCTATTCAATTTGATCTAGTCTACACATTTTAAACCCCCCCCCCCCCCCCCCCCCCCGC